CCCTATACAATATCAATGCATGCCTTTTGCAGAGTAGTAAATATGATGCTTCTTGACAGGATATATCATAAGGTCTTCTAATCACGCCTGTCATTGTGCCATTGCATAGAATCATTTTATCAAAGCCTGAATCACTGGCCAGCCAGATACATTCTAAAGAATATTTAGAAGCAACCGCAATGTATTTAATCAATATTAAGATGTGAATGTACACTAAAAAACCCACAACCCATTGCGTATGAAGCCATTACAAGGGTAATAAGCAGAATTAGGAGGTCTTTCTATAAACATATTATGGAGATGCTAAACCCCATGGAAGTTCAACACAAGATCGATATCTATTTCATAATAAAATCATTGTTACACACATACAGTAACATCATCGTTTTATTCAGGTGTTTGTTTCCTCTGATTTCTCTCCCTGTCTAATCAAGCTTCCTGTGGGATGAAGAATTATTTCTGGTACTGTCGACTTCACATCACTCTCCTTTACTGCTTGCCCGCTACCATCTCGATCATCTCCCTCTTCCACAATCAGGATTTCATCTGGATCAGGTGTCTCTTCTGTAGCAATAATCTCTTCTGCATGTGGCTTAACAAAATCTGATTTAGGAGAAGTAATATAGATTCTCACATATTTACTCTGTTTGACATAACACAAAGGCATGTAGAGTGTTGATTTGTTTATGACCTTTTGCTCTTCCTTTCCCTCTTCCCACACCTATTTAAGGAGGTTCTGCACTAGAACTTATGTTGTTGTAATTTTATATATAGAGCCTAGAGTGAGCTTGTCCCTTTACGGACATGTAAGTAAACAGGTCCATGCCTAAAGAGTTTTTATACTAAGGGACTAGGGGCGGCTCTATGTTTTTTGCCGCCCCAAGCACGGCAGTCAGGCGAATTTGGCGGCGTTTCTGTGGGTGATCTGTCCCGCCGCCGAATTGCTGCCTGACTCCCGCTTGCTGCGCTGGTGCCTGGAGCCGCCCCTTAAAGGGACATAACCTGCAAACATTTACTCACAGAAGAAAATTGGCCAAGATTTTCTAAAGTGACTGGTGATTTTGGGTGCTCAACTTGAGACACCAAAAGAGGCCTGATTTTCCTAAAGTGTGGAGCACCCAGCCCTCTGAAAACCAGGCATCTCAAGTTAGGCATGCTAAACACTTGTCACTTTTGAAAATCTTGCCCATTATATGTATATGTGGTTTAAGAACTCACATCTAGGAAGTAATGATCTGCATGGACTTCTAAGAGCATAATGTCAGACTTATTTTTCTTCTTGGAGCTGCACCCATATAAATGAAGGAACTCTTACCTTCTTTCTCCCCTTCATTGTGATAATTACTTGTGGCAGTTGCTTTTTTCCTTTTAGCTATAGTCATTGTATTTAGATTAGGTCCCTGCACATCAGCATCATGCATAACCATGCCAATCTGTGCCGTTGCAGGAGTCACAATTACCTATACCAAAGCAAGAACAAAGAATGCACAAGCAAGAAATGCAGCTGCATCAGAAATTTCCTTTTAAACAGCAGTGATAGAACCCCTATAATCAGTATATTTAGAAATGGGTATCAGCCTAAATTCTTCATCCAGATATACATACACAATGTCTGTTGAAGTGAAGAGGCACAGACTTTGGCCCATTATTTAGTAGATGATCAGTGTATCTAATGAATGCTCTCCATTACACCATTCATAATGGGAATATTCCCCTGTAGCTCTGTCAAATATATGGAGGAATGATGGGGACAGATTTTTGGAGAGAAAACAAAATTCTGCAAGAAAAATGAAACTGTATTAAAAATATACTTGCAAGAAATAAGAAAGATTAGTTAATCTACTACTCCAATGAGAAATGGCCAAACTATGCTCTCAGCTACACCTCTGAAATCCTATTGATTTCACTGATGATGCAAAAGTGTAACTTGGAGCAGGTTTAGTCAATTGTGCTTTATAATTATAGTGTAAATTCTGGGCCTAAAATGGAATGATCTAATTATCAGCTTTCAATTGGCTTCATATCATATTAAGTGAAAGTATCAAATTCATTGGCAACATTTGTATTTAAATTTCAGAAGGTTAATCATGGCATATTAAACAATGAGGCTACTTTCCCTGCTTTCATTTTGAAAATAAAAAGTAAGGAGCACTTTTACTTTGTTTAATATATAGAAATTCTGTGAAAACAAAGTCCCAGTTGATCTTTTTAATTCCTTAAGCCTTCATCCAAAGTATTTACGCATCTGCTTAAACTTTAAGCTTGTTAGTTGTTCCTTTGAAACCAGGGGACTACTTGTGCTTAAAGTTAAGCACATACTTAAATGCTTTGGTGGATCAGACCTACCAGACAAATCCTGCTTGCCTTACTTATATAAGTGTTGCAATTGAAGTCAGTTACTGCATAAACATAGATAGGTTTTGCTTTGGATGTATAAATTCAAAATCTTCAACCTTTCTTAGAAATTAGTCAAAATGTTACTATTCCAGTGCAAAAATGACCTACATCAATGTTGATAAATGCATTAAAATTTGTCCTGTTACCTAAGCTATACAGAATTTAGTAATTTCAGTTCACAAAAGTTTGCACAATCCCTTCTCTTCAGTTTTGATCTACAGGGGACTTGTGCCCCTTGAGTGTCACTTTTCTGCTGATTTCTTAGCAATCTATTAGAAACTGCAAATTCTGCAGGATTTCAAACGGAAGTCAGCCTAGGTTAATTCAAAATGTCTGTCAAGGTTATGAATCTTTTGGAGAGAACCTGAGCTCAGCTTCAGATTTACAACAAAAAAAACCAAACTGGGCAAATGTTGCATGGTTTGTGTTTCATGCTGAATGTTTTATAGTGTTCTTACTTTTAGAAAAAGAAATTTCTCAAATTTTAAAGCTATCAAAATTACACTGTTACTCTTTCATACACTAGACTTCAGAGGTCAATCCTGTATCCAATGGACTCCTCACATGAATAAGGGCTACACACTAAACCACAAATGGCAAGGATTTAATTACCATCAGCACTTACCTGTTTGATCCTCACAGAGCTGCCATTACTACAGCAAGGGAAACTGCAGGATTTGTGGGTTCACAATAGTTGAGATGTTATAGGAGATAAAAGTGCGTGAAAAGGTGAGCACATATCATGCTTAAATAAAATCCTGAAGATATGTTAGTTCTACAGATTTTGATGTGACAAATCATGCTGCTGTGAGATCTATTCTGAAAAAAATATATAACATGGTGCATTCCACATGATATTAAGATAAGTTTGCTCTCAAATGAGAGACTGAGTTGATAATGACTTAAGATGCTGGAAATACATATGAATTCCATTGTTCCAGCTCATTTAATAATGAACAAAGGCGCTTTTGTAAATCACTGACAAATATACAGTATTAGCACTGCCACCACAGAAGGCAGTTGTTGCAAAGGATCAAAGATTTGGATTAGTGGTTATATAAAGCTTTCAGCTGAAAAATAGTTTGTCTAGGATTTGATGAATACCTACTTTGTAACCTTCATAAGAACAATGGGAAAAAACTACAGAGACTATGAATTAAGACAAGTATAGTTAATCTGTTATTGCGCATGTCTGTGAAGACAGACACTCAGTGTAACAAGCTGAATTTTAAGAAGTGAACTGACTTTATTAGAGCTTCATATTCTACAGCTTCTACTCTTTCTCTACTTTATTATAAGGAAAAGCTGTAGGTAACAATAAATTTCAATGAATAGATTACCAATTCATTCCTGGTTTTCACCCACAATGGCCAGTAAAAGACAGGATACAAAGTTCTTGGGAGCAGAAAGTCTGCTGGAGGAAGATTGTTGTGGAGCAAGGCTGTCGCAAACCTCCCTTCTACCAGAGGCCCACAGGAACCATCAGAGCCTCTCACATGGGTGGAATGGGGGTTTAAGTGTGTGGTTCAGCGGAGCTGGGTGATGTGCTGAGGTGATCCGGCACATCCACACTGCAGTGTCCACAGACAAGCTTCTGGTCCTGGTCCCAACAGAAACTTATGCTGATCTTTCCTAGGGCAAACCCCAGGAAGGGCAGTGAGGGAAAGAATACCTGCCCTTCTCCATGGGTGAATCCCCTCCTGAAATGGAGCAGGCCTTGCTGTCACAGTGTAATGTAAGCTATGCCTCTCTGCACCTGTTAGGGTGTATCTGGTCCAGTGGCCGCTTTTCAGACGTCATTAAGTTCTCTGCATTAATAACAGGGCTTGGCACTTATATAACATTTCATCTTCAAACAAAAATTATTAATAGTCATAATGTCCCTGTTGGTTAAGTAAATAGTACTGTCCTAATTTTATATAGGGGAAAACAAAACAACAGAGAATTTAAGATACTTGGTTAAGTCCACTTCATTGGAGGCACAATAGGGTTAAATCTGGCCAGCGAATCAATGGTAGAACGGAGATTAAGAATTTAGGAGTTCCTGGGTCCTATCACCATGCTTAGTTCACCAGACGATGCTGCTTCTACTCTACATGTTGTAATTGAGAAAAATTTCAGTCACCGCAGCTTATATCCCTTGGAAATAAATGTATAAAAAGACAATATTGAATGTACTATTTATCAGCTTACGTTACTTCTAATACTCATTGCTAGTTTTCTGTGGTGTTAATGTCCAATAACAGATGCTAATATGCTGAACTTTAAGAAAGATTTTCTATGGCCTCAATTAAGCAAAATACTTAAGCACATGCTTAACTTTAAATACATGAGTAGAACTGTCAAAGTCAATGGAACTACTCATGTGCTTTAACTTGTGAATGTGCTTACGTGCTTACGGGTCTGAAGTTGGTGAAGATCAGAATTGAAACGTGGAGATTTCAGTGATTTCACTCTGTGTTTTATAGTAAAGACCAAAGTGAAGATTACCACAGTCAAAAGGGCCACTACAGGAAGTTGCAATGGTGAAGAAGTTGTTAACTGGAAGGTGCTGTGAACAACTACCAGACCAGTGACCGACAAAACAAGACAGTGAAACAAGGTGAAAGTAGAGATGAAAGAAATGTGTTCCATTTATTTGTAACCATTGAGGAGGAATCATACACTGTTGTTGACATGAGCGCACATTAATATTATAGCAACACATACGACATATTTGTTGATTTAGCATCCTGGGGCTCATTCTCATTTATACCACAGCCCCTTTACAATACTCAGACAGGATAAACAAGCCTTAAAGTGGTTATAAAGAACATTTACTCCCATTTTAAGGCATCTTTCTTTATACTGCCAAAATTGTGTAAAAGGCCTTAGTGTAAATGAGAATCAGGACCTCTGTTTCTAATAGCTATAGTACACTCCACATACACTACTTTACCAAAGTCTGACCAAATCTAAATTGTTGCTCAGAAAAACATCTCCTTTAAGCCTTGATCATTCTTAATCCTTTCAGCCACCTCATTAGTTGCCTCCCTTGAAATTCTCCCTCACTCTTCTGGTTTGTGTTATATGGAGGAAGAGGGTCAAATCTTGGACCTGATCCTGCATTCAGTAGGAATTTAGGATTTGCAGGGTTAGGTTCTGTGTGGTTAGCTATAAGAGAATGGTGTTTAAATATGCATTAGTAAAGGCACTATTTTGCTTGGTGTAAATAAGTGTAATAAAAACACAAGTGAAGTGAGTGGAAGGATCCAAGGCTATTTGCTATGCATAAAACAATTTACACACATGAATTATGCCAGTATATCATTCAATCTCTCCCCCGTACTTCTGTTTCCTAGTCTCAAATTCACACTTTCTTTTTATCTCCTTTACTGGGCTCAGGCTGAGATACTTCATCTTCTCCCTCAGGTATGAACACACTTACAGTGAAATCACTTGTTTCTGTGCCGTATTTGTTTTTCACCAAAATGCCGTATCTCCCAGAGTCGATTGTGTTAACGCCAGTCATAGTGAAGCTGGCGCTTTTTCCAGATTCGTATTTCAGGATGCAGTGGGCATCTGCTGTCAACGGTTTCTCATTCTTCAGCCACGTGACCTCTGGGACAGGATCTCCCCAGACATTGCAAGTAAGATTAAGCGCCTACAAAAATGTACAAATGGGTTATAAATAACAGTTGTTAATTAATTTTTTTGCATCCATTTGGATGAATAATTCCCTCAAAGTCCCCTCTTAGCTTCCTGCTATTAGACAGTGGATACCCATAAGCATCCAAGATCAATCATTTCTGATGTAGTCTGATCCATCATGAAGGAAGAGAATGAACACAACTAATTAAAAAGCTCCATTAAAAACCTTCAGTATTTTATGGACCCTCTTCCCTCATGACCATTACCACAACCCCCTCGGCATTGTTTAATACAAAAATTAGTACTAAGGTAAAATAAAATTAAGATACAATCACTAAAAGAATGAAGGCTCTCACAGCTGGGGCATATCCCGCCCCTTCCCTTTAGGGACATATAGGATCTCCAGGAGTGGAACCTTATTTGTCTCAGAATGTTGCCTTAAGTAAGAGCAGTTGCCTGGAAAGGAGGCTTAATGTGTCCTAAAAAATGTCATCCTGCTTAAGTTAGCTGCTACTTCTCCCAAGAGATTCAAAGCCCTGGTGGCTTTTTCAAGCCCTAGTCCTAATTGTAAATTTCACTCTTCCAATCACAATGCCATGTGACTTATGTGACCAACTGCGACTAATAAATACAGCAATAAATATTCACAGCAGATTGTCAGGAATCAATTCATAGTAGAAAAAAACTTGCAAAATTACCTCTCATTGAATAAATTCAAATAACAAGTACATTTGCTGACCAACATTCCACAAGCAAAAAGAAAGGCTAAATAAGTCAAATCAATTATTCTGTGTGAATTAATGACTTCTCTCTCTACATCCCTGGTCCCCCCAGTCAGACGCAGGTGAGTACGCTGGGGTCTAGGATTCAGAATGTCTAATTTTTTCTTCTTTGCTTAGGTTTTCCACTGTATGCAAATATGGCCCCTTCCCTTGAGTCAATGTATTGAATTCAGCTCACTAAAATGTTGTGAAAAGTAGTTAACTGGTGCCTTGTGTTCAAGATAGTCACTTCAAAGGCTAACATCTCAAGCTGAAGTGTTAGCTTTAATTCTGAATACTCTGGATGTGTGTGTTGAGCTGAGAGTCAGGCCGTGGGTAATGTCTGTTTCCTGGGGTTAAACATTTCCTCCTCTCCTTTTCCCCATTTTTTTAAATAATTAGCTTGTAAACAATTACAGTACAAATTTTTTCAAAGACAATATGCAGGAATCAAATAATAGATCATATATAAGAAAATGTAAAAATAAAGTCCATCAAATCTTGTTTGAAAAGTCCATGGACATGAACACTTCAGAGACAGTCAAAGTGTAGAGAAGTATGGTTTAAGTGGGACTTAAATGGTGTGCAGGCCTTATGCTGGCACTCTGCACTGAGGGGAATTTCATCTCTATGACGCTGAGCTCTCCAGGCAGAGCTTCAGCCCTAACATTCTGAACAGAAAAATCCATCATCTTAATACCAGTCTCACTGTTTCTTTTCCTACATCTGTAATATATTGCTTGCAATGTAAAACATTATTTAAAACAGTCTGTTTCAAATGTAGTTTGAAGGGTTTTATTCCAGAGAAAATCATCTCCTGTGAGATGATAGGAGTGGAATGTAGTGAAAAACCAGAATCAGCTTTCTGTTCCTCTAATTCAGTGGCTCTCAACCTTTTCAGACTACTGTACCCCTTTCAGGAGTTTGATTTGTCTTGAGTACCCCCAAGTTTCACCTCACTTAAAATCTACTTGTTTACTAAATCAGGCAAAAAAATACAGAAGTGTCACAGGACCCTAATACTAAAGAATTGCTTACTATCTCATTTTTACCATATAATTATAAAACAAATCAATTGGAATATAAATATTGCACTGCCGGCCTCGGTCCCCGGCCCCGGCCCCCGGCCCAGCACCGCCGGCCCCGGCCCTGCACCCCCGGCCCCGGCCCACCACCCCCGGCCCAGCACCTCCGGCCCCGGCCCGGCCCCACACCCCGGGCCAGCCCCCGGCCGAGCACCGCCGGCCCAGCACCCAGCGGCGCCGGCCTCTCCCTATTTTCCCGGACATGTTCGGCTTTTTGGGATTTCCCCCCGGACGGGGATTTGAGGCCCAAAAAGCCGGACGTGTCCGGGAAAATCCGGACGTATGGTAACCCTAGTTGTAAAACTAGGCAAATATCTAGATGAGTTGATGTACCCCCAGAAGACCTTTGCGTACGCCTGGGGGAATGCATACCTCTGGTTGAGAACCACATCTCTAAATTACCCGCTCCTAATGTAGATTCATCTAAAGGTGACTGTGGAAGGGACTTAAAATATTCCTGCCCCTGTTGTTAGCCCCAGTTAGAGTCATGGAAAGATCAATGGTAAAAAATATCCAATAGACCTCCCTCTTTCCCTTCCTGCCTCAGGAATAATGATGAAAGGTGAAAAAGAGATCCACCCATAAAATCAAGAAAAGGGAGATATTATTTTTTTCTATTTCCTCACATGTAAAGTACGTCTTCATGGTGGACCTCACTGCAGGGGATTCCCAGAAACAATAAACAAAACTCCAAGAGATTAAAAAGGGAACAAGAGGAAAAAAATATCCCTCCTCCTCCAAAAATATGTAACTTGGTGAGAACAGAGAAAAGGTAGACTCTGGGTGCCAGGTGGTCAAAGCCTGCTGACATGGAGACCCTATCTGGTCTCCAACAGCAGCCATGGTTGGAGAGTAAGTGGGGCTCTTAAACCTGTTCTCTTGGAGTCCTCAGGCATTAAATAAACATGTTTTTGATTGCAGAGATGTTTAAAAAGCTGAAGGAAAGGGAAAAACTCCCACATTATTCCTGGCTATTCATGGTCTCTGAATATGAACAGCTCAGCCACACCTGGTTTCATTCACTATTCAGTACTTCTATATCAGGGGTTCTCAAACGGGGGGTTGTGTCCCCTCAGGTGGTCACAACAGGGCTGCCCAGAGGGGGGGCAAGTGGGGCAATTTGCCCCAGGCCCTGGGCCCCGCAGGGGCCCCCACAAGAGCTTTTTGGGGCCCCTGGAGCAGGGTCCTTCACTAGCTCCGGGGGCCCCGGAAAACTCTCGCGGGGCCCGGGCCTTGGGAGCTTCTTCCACTCCGGGTCTTCGGCGGCAATTCGGTGGCGGGGGGTCCTTCCGCTCTGGGACCCGCCGCCGAAGTGCCCTGAAGACCCGCGGCGGGGGGGCCTTCCACCCCGGGACCTGCCGCTGAACAGCCGGGTCTTCGGCAGCAATTCGGCGGTGGGGGCCCCCCACCACCGAAGACCCCAGGCCCCCATAATCCTCTGGGCGGCCCTGGGTCACAAGGTGGTTATACAGGGGTCACGAGCTGTTAGCTCCCTGGGGCTGACAGCCCCAAGCCCCCATTAAATTAAATCCCCCCATTTTTAATTTATAAGGGGGGGGTCACACTCAGAGGCTTGCTGTGTGAAGGGGTCACCAATACAAAAAGTTTGAAAACCACTGTTCTATATTGTGTCCACATTCTTTGACACATAAGGGATCAGTATTGAATTGTCCCTATTGTCATTGCAAGGTCCTAATGAGTTACTGTCAGTGACGCAGAGAGCTGTATTGGATGCATCACTCAAACCCTAATGGTCTACAGTTGTGCCAATTTTTCCCTAACTGAGAGAAACGGCAGCACCAATAACCCTTTTCTCCTTCAAATTGTTTCTTAAAATAACTTCCCCTTTTGCTTAGCCTTACGTCACTGATCACTGGTGCTGTTTGTTCCCACTCTGATGCACCCACTTCTTTATTGTTTGTGTTCTGCCTATTTATGTGGAAAGATAATCCTTATATTTCAGTATGAAGATGGTAAGATCCCTGGTCATTTTAAAATCTTATGGGCAGGAGTTTCATTACAGTGGGCCTGTTGCCAAGGCCTGATCCTTTGTACCTAGCATTGCATCTATCTGTTTTAGACATTTTTGCCCTTGGGACAGGGACCTTATCAACATATGTGTTGGTAAAACACTATGCACACCTATGGCATTATAGAAATCAGTTATTATAATATGGGTCAAATCCTGAGGTCTTTCTTCTAGTACCAGCTGCAAAACACTCTGGCCTGCTCCTGTTGGGGAGGGCAGCTTCCCCCTCCAAGGATCATTCCCTTTCTTCAGGGAACTCTCCATCACTCATGCTTGGCGCAATGAGGGGGAAGAAGGAAAGGACTAGAAACCCCCTCTGGATAGTTGGCAGGAGATTTTCATACCCTCAAGGAGACCAGGTGACCTATATTCCAGATTAGCAGAGCTCCTAACAGAAATTCAGATTACAAAACAGGATAAAAACTTTTGTTTTTAAAAAGTCACTCCTTACTCAGTTAACACACCCATGTAAATCAGTGGAAGTTTTGCATGAGTAAAAACAGAATGAGAATTTCAGAATTTGGCCCCTGCCATATATATAACTTACAGTAGTACCTACTGCCAACTCAAATCCTCATTTGACGTGCTGTGATTTGAGATTTAGGCTTTTCAGATTACATTACAAGACTGAAAACCCATTTATGTATATCAGTGCAAACATCTTTGGCCATCTGGAACATTATCATATGCTGTTAAAACAAACATCAATTCACATATTCCACTATACACAATTCAATACAAAAATGCATGTAAATAACATTATGGTTATGTTTTTAAATTAAAGGGCCAAATCTGCATACACCTGGAAATTCAAAGTCAAGGATGAAAAATCTGCTCCCCTCAGTTTATAGGATTGCACTAGATGTAGCAGCTCTTATGTATACTGTGATAAAAGAACATCATAAGGCCCCTTGTAACTGCTACACCCTGCATTACCTCACTTTACATTTTAAAATGTCATTGAGGATTATAAGAGTTGCATGAATTACACACCAGGTGTAAACAGATGCTCTCATCTCTCCAGAATACATACAAACACTGGGGACAAATGGGCCACTCCCACCCCTACAAGTACTATTTGTTCAGTAGACAATTCTATCAATATGGAAGTAAGCAGTTACTGTAACTTCACTGTATATGGTAGACTAGAATGCCTTCAATGTATATAATTTCATTTTGGTGGGTTTTATTTTATTTTTCATTTTAAAACTCCTGGCTCATGTTATAGGATGGTGACTAGCAAAATTATATTTTGTAACCAAGTCTTTATTTCAGTTATATAATTACAATCATACATCAAGTGTTAGTAAAAGGTTCTTTTTTACACCAGCTTCATTTCAAAATGGTTAGAACAATGTGTATTTGTATAATTGTGTTTTTTTAAAAGAAGAATAGATCCCTGTCTGTGATCCTGAATACCAAGATTCAACCTGGAGTGAATTCATACAATACTGAGACCATTGTTTCATTATGTATGTGCTGGGACACACTGAATTATATGGGCAAGATCATGAGCCTACAGGGCTAGATTAGGGCTAGCTCTGTATGAGGAGGCTGGGGTGAGAGAATGACATGAGCCTCCCCTATTCTGTCCTATTGCAGAGGTCAGAATCAATCCCAGTCTGTGTATTCGTGGCTCACAAGCACCAGGGAACTCTAGCAGCTATAGTATTAGTAGATACTCTGTAGAGATGGGCTGAGAGCAGGACTATGGTATCAACTACCAGCATTGATCTAACACAGGGGGAAGAATATATTGCACTACAGCAGTGTCAAACAAATGGGCTATGGGCTGGATCCAGACCTCATGACACACTCAAATTGTACAGAAACTAAGCTTTTCTTTAAAAAAAAAAAAAAAAGGAGAGAGAGAGAGTAAATTTCTAGCCCTTGTGACTGAAGAGATAACCTTCCAAATGTGAACTAAACATAAACCAATGGCATGTCTGCCCGAGTCTAAAGAGAACCTGAAACAGTGAGTTAGCAGGTTGAACTCCTCTGTCCCCTATTAATGGTTTACGTGTCAGCTTTAAAGCCCAACAATGACATTAAATGTCAGCATTGGCTGATCATTGTAGTGGATGGAACAGGCTAAGGGGTAAAAGTAAAGCTCTTAAGAGTTGGCAGTTGCTGTAGAATAGGAAATACAGGAATATATAAAAGTTTAGTTACTACATAAAATCTGTATTGTCCCTGAACTCTGGGTGAACCTCCCATTACCCTGCTCTAACATCAATTCCTTCCTTCACTGACAGAGCACAGAGGCTCCAGTTCATGACCAGCAAGCTTTCTGTGTTCCCTGTCTAGATCTCATGCAGGTGTATAGGGTGAAGTAATGAAGCAGGACAGGTGTCTGAACTCAGCAAATGACAAACACAGCTACCTAGGCAAGAGAAGGGGAGAGTTTTCTGAGGAGGCAAAGTACCACACCCATTTGCTAGAGGGTTGTAGCCCAAACTGAGATTTCTCTGAGCCTTTGTTTTATGTCAAAACTTTTGAACAAGACTTGGGCAGAGACTTTACTCTTGTTTCTGGACCCAGTCCACCAACTTAGATGACTACACAAATCCTGGACTATATTAATTGTAAAAGACTTTACAACTCTGTCTACACTTCTCATGAATAAAACAAGGTCTCTTAACATCCCATAGTTGTTGGGCCAAAGATACTCATCTTGAGTGCTCTGAATTTTTAGTAACATCCAGCCTTCCTCTATTCACAACATCTCAAATATCCTTGTAGTTTTGAGTAATGAATGCGCCAGGAAGCCTTTACAGCTCACTTTGCATAATTCCAACCAATATTTATATATATATAAATATATACACATATCACTGCATTTTGTATATATATGTGTATATATACCAATATATACACATATCACTGCATTTTGCTTCTGAAAGCTCATACTTATCTGTATTGTTTTATTTCAACTTTCTCTCGCAGAGATTTCTCAACTGATATAATCACCCAAGTTTTCCCACCACAATCGCATATCAGACTCATCTCTTAGCAAAAGCAACTATTTCAGCTGAAAATTGGCAAATTCACTCACTTTCCTCCTGCCTTCTTCCCCACTCTGTTGCAATTGCAAGAATTCTCTGTGAGAATGTCTAATTACTATAGCATTCCCTTCAACTACTAATCAACACCACATAAAATACTTATACCAATTCCACCTATGATGTCTCTGGAAGACAGTGGGAATTAAATGGCAAGATTTGGTTCCAAACACTGAGTGCTTGACAGCTGCAACATCACAGGCATCAAAGCTTTTATAGTGAGAGTGTTGCTGAGATGGTGCGGTCATGTAGTCAGTATGTCTGACAATAGGATACCAAAGGCCGACTTTTATGGAGAATTGGACTGGAACTCATTTTAAGGGCCGATCAAGAGAACGTTACAAAGACACTCTCAAAGCCAACGTCCAATCTTGCAATGTTGACCTCGACACCTGGGAGCTCTTAGCCCATGACAAGATCCATGGCGGCAGCTCTGCCACCTTGGACTGAAAGACTTTGAGAGCTCATGGATTGCTGCAATCAAGGAGAGATGTGTGAGGCATAAAGCTAAAAGCAATGTACATTCATCTACGCTTGTCTTCATCTGTGGCACCTGCAGAAAGGGTTGCAGGTCTGAAATTGGTCTTTGGTCTCATTTAAGGACCCACAATAAGTGACTGTAGCTCATCTGTCAAACTCAACAGTAGATTTAGCATCATCATCATCACTATAAATCCAGAGTAATTCCATTGACTTCATTTGCTTTATCTCAAATTTACCCTAGTATAAAAGAGAAGAATTTCTCCTTTGTCTCTTAGGATGGTGAGGTAGGAGGTTGTGTAGGTTTCTACCACACTTTACTCCCCAACTCTCCAGATCTGACTGGTGCCATGCCTTGAGGGACTACCATCATCCATACAGATTGACTGGCTGTCTTGGATGTAAAGAATTCAGCATTACTCAATATCCCATAGAAAAATGCAACTGTGAAATCTCTGTGCATAATGTAAATTTTTAAAGATATGGTTGTTTCTGAATTTCCTAGGAAGTACACTGTTCACATTTTAGTCCTGACTGGCATTGTCATCTCACTTTTATCTCATGCTTAACAAATGAAACTGCCCCAAATACATAAACCTATCTCTCCAAGAAATTCAAATTATGTACAGACGATAGAGAATGAATAAATAATGCAGCAGATTTTTAAAATGGAACCTTTGAAATCATTCTTGTGTTTTCCCCTTTTCTGCAAGATATAAAAGCTGCTCAGCTACAGTATAAAGCTATAGTTCATTTACTGTACCTTGCCTTCCTGGATGGTGACAACATCGGGCAAACCTCCAAGTATCCGGGCACGATCTGAAAATACATGAGTGAAGTTTCCTTTAATGTCTGCAAAAATAACTCTGTCCCAGATTTCATTTCCCCTCTAGCGCTGTTCTTTTATCTTATTTTTGTACAAGTCTCTGTATATGCAAATGAAGAGAGTTATTCAGTATTCCTAGCACACCATTTATACATGTAAAATCATGTCACTCTGCTGCAAAAAGCAGACATCTTAATATCTGACTGTCAATCACCTCCTCAGCGAAATTAAAGTATGGGCCTTATCCTTACCTCCACTGAATTCAGTTTGAGTTTTGAGTGCACAAAGAATATAGAATTGGGCCCAATGTTTCTAAGTTTCCAAGGTAAAAGTCTGGCAATTCAGAGTTTATGAAAAGAAATGAGTTGCAGCCCATAGAAGAGACTCAGAAACCAGTGAAGTTTAGGCTTCAGATCTAAATAAAAAGACAAATTCCACCAGTGTAAATCTGGAATAATTCCATTGACTTCAGTGGAATTCCTCTGGATTTATCCTGGTGTAAACAAAATCAGAATCTAGCCATTCACTTTTAGTTTCAAAACCCTATTGCAATCCGATATAAGTAAAGTGACCCTAGCATGCACATTCTCTGCTGCAGCTATTCAGGAAGTGAAATTCAACCTTTGTTAGTAGTGAGGGAGCCATGAAGAGGCAGAAAGTGGCTACATGGAATGCTCCTCTTCAACATAGGTGCTCTTTGCCCTCTGTAAAATAGACACTTTGTGGAGAAACGTGTTGAAGCCAGAGGTGGAAGGAGCAGGAGTTGGGAGCTAACCTATACCCAGGGGCATGCCTTCTCCCCACTATCCATGACCACCCAAAGTCAGAGTCAAAGTACAGCTGAGGAAGAACATCTAGGGGCAGCACGTTTACTGGTCCTGTCATACTAGTTTGGGTGTGTGTGGTGGTGGGGGCTGCAGCAGAGTTTGGAGAAGCTGGCCAGGATCTTTAGGGTTAGGGACTCCGAATGCTGCATACCAATTCCTCTCCACTGCCTTTTCAGACTCCATCTTTGCCTACACTATTTCTATGCTGGTCCCAAACACGTAGAGAGAGGGGAGACTTTGCTGAGACGTTGCATTAATCTGTTCCACCCCATGCACTTTTAAATAGAAGGGAAAGTGTGTAGAGCTTAATCTTTGTAGTTAATTTATAATGGCTTTGTTAATTAAACTAATGATTAAATACTTTTTCCCCCTCCTTTTAAATTACTCTGTATTTTGTGTCTTCAGTATAATGCTATGATTGAGATTTTTAAATGCACAGATGTCAGGAAGCTCAGAGCACCTGTGACTTGGCCCAGTTATCCATATGTAATATTTTTCATCGGCGCTTATGATGTGAAGCCATTTACCATGTAGGATAATTCAAAAACAACTAAATAATTTTCTTCAGACTTTCAAAAACAAAGTCACTTTTGTGTTGAGAGCAGGCATGAGAAATTTCAGCTCAAAAGATAATTTTTAGGGCAAGTTATTTGGCTGTGAAAACAGAAGCTAAGACTGGAAAAAGTTAACACAACCATAATTATACGGTCACTAGCTGATTGTTATAATATTAGCTATCAAAGAGGTCACTTTTCCTGTTTCTCCTTGGTGTCAGGATAAACTAGTTTTATCAAACGCACACACCCATAGTCAGGAGGAAAAAAGAAACTTCATAACCAGTTTATGGAGATCATTGTAAAAGAAAGCTCACTTACTTTTTTCTGCAACAGCAGCTTGTCTGTAGTTGAGGGAAACAAAAAGAAAATTCAATTTTAGTTGAGGTTAATTTAGGATGACTACCAAATGGCTAATCTTTGAGATTGCTTTAAATCATTTAAGGAAAATCTTTCTGCACAGTACATCACTTGATAATGCCACTTTTTCCTTATTAACAAAGACTCAAATCCTCATCCAATAGAAGTCAATGGCAAATCTCTCATTGACTTCAGTGGGACCAGGATTTGGCTCAAAGGATTTTTTTTTAGTGTTAAACAAAGTGAACCTGAGTACAGTTTCTTGCTTTATTAGCAGCATATTGTATTCAAAATAATACTTGTCATGAGTAATACTTACTTTAATCTTTGGAATTCAACACAGGCTTCATCAAAGGCTTTTAAAAGAGAAAAACTGATGTTAAAGGTAGTTTTCACAGACCAGTCATCACAAGAAGGTAATTTATATTTTAAGATGTAGATTAAAATGTAATCAGTGTAAGAAAAATTAACATTTGCAGTCTTTGCTTTGATACCATACAAGACTTAAAATGACTAAAGGTTTAATTAAATGAAGTGGTCTGTAGGTAACTCCGGGCTGAATGTGATAATAATAATAAAAAATCATCAGTCTTTAACACACAAAGAGAGGCTAAGATTATCTCACTAAAGATACCTCAGGAACAAAAGTGCAGTGTTCCAAATTAATTATAGCTTTCAGGATTAAAAAAAAAATCAATTTTTAACAAGTATTTTCATGCCCACTGCAAAGTTTCACTTTGATGCTCAGGTAACCAACTGAACAGCAAGATTTATTCCTGTTGTAGCTTCTCCATACGTTGTTTGATGTTGACAGACCCTTTCTCCCCTTGAGTGAGAAGAAGGGACAAAAACTTTGCCAGAAACTGGGCAAAGGGTACAGAATGGAAAACAATTATTTCACTAAATGTGATTCACCCATCACCTGGAGCCCACAAACACAATGTGGAGTTGGGGCTTTGTGGGTAGAAATGGCTGTGGAAGGAAAGGTTGGACCTCGGGAGCAGCCTGTTTCTGGCACATGTTCTCCTTAGGACTCAAGAGCCTTCTGGTTGGAAATCTATCCCAGAATTAATCCAAACACCATTAGCTTTCCCTCTACACCTTTAACCCCTGTTCTGAATGCTGGTGAAAGATATCGGCACTGACAACTCTGAAGAATTAGGTATTTATAGTGTGACTCCTTTACCTTGTCCAGAAAGATCCAGCTTCCTTGTATGTGTAGTTTTACCATCAAAGAGCTCCATTATATATTTGCCCTTGTCCTGTGGAGTTGGCTCATTGATCTGTAACCAGATCTGCTCCCCAGTAACACCAGTCTTAACTCTGTCTGTATACTTAATCTTGGCATCACTGAAAAATAAAAAGCAACATTATCCCTTCCTTTTTATCATATTATAAATGTGAATGACCTTTGTGGCCTCACTGGCCATGTCTGCACTAGAGAATTTTTTGCAAATGGTTTCTGTGCTGCTACGCTATGAATTCAAAATTTCAAACTTTTTAGACCAAATTCTTTCTGGAGACTGTGTCATACTAGGAAAGCTGAAGACCAAAGTGGGGCACAGGATGGAATTTTTCTGTTCCAATTCTAGCTCTCCTCACAGCCCACCGAGAGGCTGTGACATGTGCCCTCCATGACCAGAGCTGCAGAGCTCAAGACCCAAGGATCAGTAGGCGAGATCCATGCATTTCAGCATGTAACCCGAGAATGCATCCCACATTCATATCTCTACCTCATCACATGTTGCTTCTGAATGAGGTGAAAAGGGGAGTTGTACAAGGGGCTATGAATGGCCAGGACATGAATAGACAACAAAGCTGCTTTTGTAGCAACAATATATTTCCATTTAGGGGGCAATTTGGCACAGTGCCAGAATTTGGTCCTTTAGGTAAATACATGCATACATTAGTATATCTTTTTCCACAAAAGTATCCATTTCCCAGCTTTCTAATCAAAGAGTTAATTATCCTAAACAAGGGAGGAAGCTCTTTGTCAAATCAGTCGCTCAGTTTCTTTTTATTCTTAAACTAATGCCTTGGAATGTAACAGAGGGCCAGGGAGCAATTTACTAACCCTTGGTGAATTAATGTGATCGTTCTAACATAAAATTAGTTTCTAAAAATTAAACATGAGAGTGAGAGCAAGCGACAAATCTGCATCATTTGATATTAGCTTCCAGTTTTCAAATGTGTAGGGACTCCTGGCAATGCAAAGTTGAAAGTAGAGATGGTACTAAGTAGATTTAAAATAATCCTAATCAGTCACTCCTTTGGATTTCCAAGTGCATCCTGTCTACTCTGGCTGAGATTTCAAAGCTGCCAAAGGGATTCTGATGCCCACGTGCCATTAATTTAAATGCGGTTTGAAAATCTCATTCTCTGTCTTGTTTTGGTTGTAAACTCTCCAAGGCACATGTTGGAGTTTAATAGGTAAGGGGTCTTATAAGGATGAAACCAGAGATATATATTGCACCTGTTAGTTCTGTAACTGTACTGTACCTGCAATTTTGTAAAAAAGTGCAATTCAGGGAGACAGACTGGCTGACCTCGAGCTAAACATTTCTGAACTCCAAGTGTTCTTCAGTTTCATGGACCTTCTGGTCATAAATACTTTACTCATGTTCTTCCTCCAGACTGCTAAAAATTAATGGGTCCAATTCCCCTCTGACAGACTGATATAATTCCATTGACTTCAATGGAGCTACGCATGATTACGTGGGAGTAAATGAAAGGAGAATGGGGCCCAGTATTTTAACATATCACTTCCTGTTGAATGTGTAAAACCAAAGAATTTGTAGACGCTAGCAAGCTTTCATACACTTACTTGTGTAACCAGCTCACCCTCAGATCTTCCAAGTAATAATTAACAAAAGAGAATAATCTGATACCCTCTGCTGTGCTCTGGATTTTCAGTTCTGTTGCAGATACAGCTGAAAGAAGAGCACATGTTTTATGCAACCCTACTGCCATTCATGAAGAAGCACGAGTCATTTGTCTGACAGGGGAATTAAATACTTACCAATCTTTCTGCACACTTCATTCATCAGATCTGCAAAAGCTGGGGAAACAAAATCCATAGTCTGAGACTCAGTGTCCACAGCTCAAACATACTCAGTAATAGGTTGAAAATTTGGCATGCAGTGTTATGACTCTAGAGCATTCCCTCTAAAGAGTTCTTAACAGAAATCTGATTTGCATTTTAAAATGTATCAGACCCTTATATTCCTCAGTTTCAAGCACAACAAAGCTAAGGAGTGTTTTCAGGGAGCTTGCCTGTCTATTCCATGGTTTCAGCACCAAGTTTAAACCCTTCACTGCTGAACAGGGCAACATTCTTTTTTTCTAAAGGTGACAGTATTCAACTGGAATTCTGGCCCTTCCATATCAATGTATTAAATACTGAGTATGAATTTTGCTCCATGTACTGGGCACAGTAAGTAGCAATGGAATCTTTAAAATATACAGAGTTCTATGTCTAGAAGTACCTTTAAATAAATTATTGGCAAAACAGATTAATTAAAAAGTCTGAAAGTGCATCCCCATGGGAACCTAAAATATATCATATTCATAAAATGTTCTAGATCCACAACATTCTTCTACATTAATGGAATTACTTTTAGTATAGTGAGCACACAATTTGAAAACTGTTATAATTGGGAATATCCTCAACTGGGGAATCCTGAGGAAATTTTACAAATAATCTAATTAACAAAAGTATATTGGAATGCTCTGTTGCTGAAAAGTCACCATCAGGATGGTCTCATGGCATCTGTGATAACTTTTGATTTAGGAGCCTGTTTAATATGCAGGAGAAGCAAAAACCACTTGAAAAAGATACCGCAATTTGCCTATGCAAAACTCTTGAGCAGACAAAGAAACACTGTCACTTCAGGTACTTATGACCCAGTATGGGATAAATCATTCAGAATGTTGTCCTGACCTGCTTCCACAAGTTTCAGTTTGCTTTTGTCCTTTCCTCTGTCATCCTTCAGTATTACTTCATAATTACCAGCATCTTTCTTGGAAAACTGTAAAGCAATAACAACAAACAGTAGCATTCAAAACAAGTTATTTCAGAGAGTAATATTGTTTCTGTCCTGGTGATTTATGTGGCTGGCAAAAAATATATATGGACACCAAATTTAACCTTCTATCTATATACTCTTTCTCACTAGGTATAGAATTAATTTTGTTCCTTTTACAGTTTGGGAACTGAGGCACAGAGAAACTAAGTGGCTTGTTCTAGAGCACACATGAAACCTGCAGCAGAACTAGGAACTGAACAAATATCTCATTAATTTTTGTGTAGTGCCTTAAGCACAAGACCAGGGTTCCTCTCGCTGATTGATAGGAGCACACATTACTGTTTAACCCTTTTCTAATGTAATCAGCACAGCAGTCTGATGTAATCCTCCAGCTCTTTAAACTGATTTAAAAGGGAAGTGTGAAGCTCTTTAGCTCTTTCTCACAGTTTCCTGAAAATCTGAATTCACAAGGATTTAAATAGAAATTTGCTGTAGCCAAAAAATAAATGCAAGGTAAGCTTTTTCTTTATAAACTATATCCCAGTTCCTATCTATAGTGGATATGTTGGAATATCAGATTAGATCACATCTATGAACTGAACTGAATACAGTGGATCTGTACATCAAAAAGCCAAGAGTCACTCACCTCTGATATCAGCAGAGTACATACGCCATCCTTAAAGTCATGCTCCTCATCCACCATTATCTCCCTCCCATCTTTGTACCAAACAATGTGCGTTTCCTTCTTAATATTAGCCACCTAAAACGTATGAAAAGCACATCAGTATTATCCTATTATTTTAATATAGTGAATTGAGTGCTAGGTGTATCAGCTTATGTGAAAGGGGACACAGAACTTAACTGATTACAGGTGTAAGCAGAATCAGAATGGGCTGTACCCTGACATGTGGTGGTGAGCTGTGGAAAAGGACTTCAGGGGCTGATCTCATTTGCATGGGCACACCCATCCTGCCTAGCATGATGGGACTGCTTGCTCAAATGGTCATTTTGTCTGCTGTGGGATCCCCAGTCTCTTTGTTATTGGGGCAGGAGTAATAAAGGGTTGTTATCCTCATTATGTGAATCAAGGACAGTAGAACTGTACTTGGCATTTTATGACGGGGGGACTTGCCCTCAACTAAGTAGCACTCGCTAGGCAGGGGACATGGGTTCCAAAGCCGAGTGAATGGAGAAATGTGGGGGGACAGGTATGTGTACCTTGTAGTGTGGGCCCTAAACACCACTATTATTTCTCCTATCTCCACTGTGCAACAATAGAGCTAATTTTGACTCTATTAGGAGTCTTATTACATGCTACAGAGCTGAAGTCACTCATACCTGGGTTTAAGCATTTGACCTACTTTGAGCTAGTGGTGTACCAGCTAAAATTGCTGAGAGGTTGGGGGGCGGGGGGGGGCTGAAGACAAGTTGGTGAGTGGCTAGCAGGACAGCTAGTGGAGAGGAGTGGATGGGGAGAGGTGCAGCTGGTGGAGAGGTGTGGCTGGGGGAGCAGCTGGCAGTGAAGACTGCAGCAGAACCCCATGGAGAGGCGTGGCAATCAGCAGTCAACCCGTGCAGTGGAGCATGTAAGATGCCCCCTCCATACCTTCCCCCACTTCTACCCAGGCTGGGAGGTAAACTCTGCAGATGAACTTCTGAACTGGGGGAGGGGGGGCTGAACTGACCAAGGACAGAAACTGTGGGAGGGGTGACTGTTGGGTTGCTGGATTTAAGACCCTGAGGGGAAAAGGACACTGCCAAACTTACTTGGAGGTCGGTCTTTTGCTCATGGTTTGTTATGAATCCTGTTTGTGGTGTTTCCCCAACATAATGCCGCATTGTTTCCCTCCTTTATGAAAAGGCTTTTGCTATACTCAGACTCCGTGCTTGTGAGAGGGGAAGTATTGCCTCTCAGAGGCACCCAGGGGGGTGGTATGTAATTGTCCCAGTTCACTGGGTGGGGACTTGAGCCGGTTTGGGCGTTCTGTTATTGAAACGGAACCCCTAGATACTGAACCCAGCCCTTGTTCCTGCCAACTCTGACGGGCAGAAGGGTTACACAGGGGACAAAAAGTGAAAAACAGGGAGAGTGCTGCAGGTCCCAGGATCAAATGAGAGATCCAAGGGGAACACAGAGCAGGGAACCCTGGACAATCTCCACTGCTCTGAGAAGGAGTCAGCGGACACCACCCAGAGGAACTCTGCCCAAATCAGAGCAAAGAATAGGAACCAAAAAAAGGCTTCAGAGCATTCTGAGAGAGAGAGACCCCCCCCACACACACATCTTGCTTGCTCCTCCTAGACTGAAGGATGGTTGACAGTGCTGGAGAACAAAGCCCTTTTATCCACTCCTGGATTGAGGAATAGGTTGTTCAGTCTACTTGTTCATTATATTCTTGGCCTTTCTTCTGAGACAGCAAACCAGAGTATACTGTTTTTGTGGCATGTACATATATGCACTAGGGCAGGGGTCGGCAACGTTCGGCACGCAGCTCGCCAGGGTAAGCACCCTGGCGGGTCGGGCCAGTTTATTTACCTGCTGATGCGGCAGGTTCGGCCGATCGCGGCCCCCACTGGCTGCGGTTCGCCGTCCCGGGCCAATGGGGGCGGCGAGAAGCCGCGGCCAGCACATCGCTCGCCCGCGCCGCTTCTCGCTGCCCTCATTGGCCCGGGACGGCAAACCGCGGCCAGTGGGGGCCGCGATCGGCCGAACCTGCCGCGTCAGCAGGTAAATAAAACTGGCCCGGCCCGCCAGGGTGCTTACCCTGGCGAGCCACGTGCCAACGTTGCCGACCCCTGCACTAGGGACTGGACTGATATCACTGATGCATTTCAGAATTATAACAACATTATGACCTAGAGATGAAATGCTCTGTATCCCTTTAGAACAGAGTCTCCTTCCTCTCTCTCACCCCTGCTCCCTGGTTCTCCTTACTATTTAATATTTATAGCACAATAGGACCAAGAGGCCTCCAGTCAGGTTCAGGGTATCATTGTGCTAAGCCCTGCACAAACTTCAATGAAAGCAGAGTCCCTGCCCGGAGGAGCTAACTCTCCCTCCTGATCTCTTTCTCTCCCATACTCAAAGACTAAGGCTTTACTGTTAGATTGAGAAGCTATTCCTGCTAAAAGAAACAGTGGTTTGACCATATCAGTTATAGTGATAGTGCCTGCTAGGCACATCCCTGAGGAAAGGAAGGTATGGAGTTAAAACATCCCAGTGGGAGCACTATGGAACCCACAGAGAGAGAGAGAGAGAGAGAGAGAGATACCTATCTCATAGAACTGGAAGGGATCCTGAAAGGTCATCAAGTTCAGCCCCCTGCCTTCACTAGCAGGACCAAGTACTGATTTTTGCCCCAGATCCCTAAGTGGCCCCCTCAAGGATTGAACTCACAATGTTGGGTTAAGCAGGCCAATGCTCAAACCACTGAGCTATCCCTCCCCCCAAAACAGAAGGAGGAGAGTACAGTGAAGAAGTCAACCTTAAATTCCAAATCACCCAAGTCCAACGGTCAGAGGCTCAGTTCCTCATGGCACTATCCAATATGCAGATGAAGCATATCTGTTTGTGACACCCCTTAATGGCATGTGGTATGTGTTCTCTTCTTCTGACCTGCTCTGCTTAGAAGGGCCCCTGCCTCCTCCCCACAGATCACCCTTTGGGAGCATTAAGAAGAAAGCAGTTTGTGCCCAAGACAGCACAGAATCTGTGACTGTGTCCAGATGTCGTTGGGGGAATACAAAGGAAAAGGAAATCTCTTTGCACTCTTCCCCACCTTGCACACCTGTGCAGTGACTGGCCACAATCTGGTCCAGTATATCTCTTGCTTTTATAACTATCTGAACAGTGTTGAAAACCAGCCAACTCTTACCTTGCATTTCAACAACACATTGCAATCAGCGGTAACTTCCCATCCCAGATACTCAACAAAATGAGGACCTGTTTAAAATGAGTTTTACAAAATCATATGAGCAATAATCACAATACAAAAGACAAGTCAAATGAACTTTTCTTGCTAGATATACTGTGATTTTTATAATGTCAGAAATATAGGCTTTTATTCTTTATGTAAAAAATGAGGTAAGGAATTAATTAGAGTTGAATAGGCATTTGTATTTCAAAATACCATATTTAAACCTGCTCCTACATTTAATCAGCCAAAAGATGCCTGAACTCCTTTCATTTGCATATGATTATGCTGTTCATTACCTTGTTTCCTGAACCACTCTTGCCTCTGAAAGTCTGCTTCGTTCTGTAGCTTCTTGAACACTAGGGATCAAAAACAGTCAGGAAAACAAATATGAGCCTTCTAGATAGAGTATCTCCTTAGTTGGGAATGGGATATTATTGTATTGCAGGGGTGAAATCCTATCCCTGCTGAAGTCAATGGGAGTTTTGCTATTAACTTCAATGGGGCCAGCTTTTCACCCCAGGTCGCTGATAGTAAATACTTCATGTGTTAAGTATTTCAGCTGTCACAATGTTATTACAGCTGACCCAGGCTCTCCTAGCCACCCACAGATATTAAACCTTTTACACGTATCCAACCCTTTTGAGGAAATGTATGTTATTGATGGTGGTTCATTCAGCACTTGAGGACTCTCTTAAACTCATTTGTTATAGTAAATGTCAATGTAATGCTACAATGAGTAATATTTAATTCATGTAAGAGAAAAGATCAAAGAGAAAAGTATGAATTGTAAATATATCTGAATATATGCCACCAAAAGGAGAAGACATTTAGTGTCACTCATCTAATTACATTTGATCCTCTGAGGAAGGAAAACAAGAATGGCAGCAGAATCATCAAGCAGTTGAAATGTAGACAGCTGTAGGTATATCTGAATATCTAACTTGAAATAGGAGAACACTCCCAAGTATCTCCAACAACATTTGCATCACATTAGCATTGTGGGACATTTTCATTGTAGATATAGGAAAACTAGCTAGACAGATGTGAGAGAGACATCATAGGTAGTATATGGCATCTGCCATCTTCCAAGCACGCTGCAAAATTAATTAATCCACACAATGCCCCTGTGGGGCATGTAAGTAATAGAAATGGTTGGAAAATGTGAACATTTTTCCTAAAGATTATAATGGAAAAATTTCCTTTTTCCCCATTTAAAAAAATTCTGAAACTTGACCAGATTTAGTAGGTGTTATTATCCCCATTCTACAGATAGGTAAACTGAAGCAGAGATGTTAAGTGACTTGCTCAAGGACATGATCGATATTAAGAAATTAGTGTAAGAGCACAGATCAAGACTCAGGAGTCACTGGCTCCTTAGTTCATCACACTGCACTAGTTGTAAAAGTGAAGTTCTAGATGAGCTTACCATCACCAATAAGAACAAGACTGGATTGGTTCGTTGCTTTTCCATCCTGAAGTTGGAAGGTATAAGTCCCTTCATCATTGTCCTCAATTTTATCCATGATCATTTCAATAAGGCCAGTATTATGGTCCACCTTCATCTTATATTTCTTCAGGAACAAAAAGAAAAGTGAGAGTAATGGTCTTCTTCAGAATCAGAAAAGACTCATCTATCTGGCCACATTCTATAGTACACTTAATAAAATTCTTTATTTTCTTTATTCAGATTTGTTCATTGTCTCTGTCCTGGGCTGTATGCACATAACTAAACATATACATAAAATATGTTAATCAAATATGATATAAGCATATTTATTATTATCATAATTCTTTATATCTGTTCTGTACTGAGCATCATGTTCTGTTTCATTAGAAAGGATTTTTTTAAATATATGAAAACTATTGCCCAACTCTTCAAAACAATATTTTCCCTGAGATGATGCTTTTATATCTTACGTCTATAGAATGCCCTGTCCATGCCCTCTAACCAATGTAGTGGAATGCTAGAGACTTCATATGTTTTGGGGTTAAAAAAAGTTCTCTGCCTGTTGCTTATGGGAACTTGCACATAACATAGGCCCTGATTTTGGATTACATGCAGAATTTTGGTCAGTGGTGTAATCAGAATTCAGGGGGTGGGCACATGGATGAGGAAATGTGGGGATGTGGTTTGAATGCACTACACTCTGTGAATTTTGGTCTCCTGGAATGACCTACAGAGGGATATGGACGGTAGCTAAATTACAGGACTGCCTTGTTCTGAGGACTGGAATGGTCCCTAGCTGCTTAGAGAATCTGGATGCCCACAAAGGTGGCCAGAGGTGATCGGGGTGGGGGGACACGTGGGGTCACGGGCCTCACCAGATTTCTCGGGCCACCTCTCGCCAGGATGCCCAAAAGCGGCTCCCCCTGGTGGTGGCACTCATCATGTGTCTGTACAGCGTGGGGAGGGAGGAAGCAGCAGGGCACTGAGCTGGCTGTGGGCTGAGCTCCCCGTCGCTACATGGGCTGCTGCTTCTTCCCTGCTGCTGGAGTCCCAGCGCTTCCTGCTGCCTGCTTCGCAGAGTGCTCACTGACGTAAGTGAGGGGGACATCTTCGAGATCGGGAAGAGGAACTGTGACATGGTGCTCAGTGCCAAGCAACTCAGGTGGAGCCCCATCCAGCCCAAGAGCCCTGGAGGTGAGTGAGCAGAGGGGGCTAGGGGGCAGAGTGGGAAAGTGGGGTGGCCTATGCTGTTGCTGCTGCTTGCTGCTCCAATGCACTCCCAGTAGCAGCTTTCTGCTGCTGCGGGTGCACTGAAACAGCAGCAGCCTTCAATGTGCCTATCAAGGTGAAGGCAATTTGGGGGTGTCATATTCCTCCCTCCAACAAAAAGTGACTGATAATTCTCCAACTTCTTGTTCACTGAGACGATCCAGTCCCCAAGCACCATCCCACCCTGGTGCCACCCATCCTGATGGCGTGTGGGGGATTGTGCCTCCCAATTGTGTTGCTCCTTTTGTTGGTCTTGTTTTGAACACTGGCTAAACTGATTGAGGAGCATTCAGGCAGGGAGGGATGCCTGCAAGCTCTGCAGGGGGCTGGGCACTCACAGGACAGAGAGCAGGAGGAGGAGGAGGTAGTTGCTAGTGTATGTTGTCTACATACACCAAGTTTCAGGGAGTGGAGGCAGAGGCAACACATGGGGCGGTCACGTGCCCCTACAGAACTGTTTAGTTGTGCCCTCCCCCACTATCCACAGTTATGTATTGCCTCTGCAGATGGCAGAAAGCCACACTGAGTGCACCCTCCTGACTTGCATCCAGCAGTGCTCACCCACAGCTCAGAATGTGGGCACAATCTTTATACTGATGTTTTCATGTTATGTTTTCCATGTAAATGCATTAGAGCAGTGGGGCCTGATTATATTCAAAGTGCTTAGCTGGAACACTGATACTCATTGCTTATAAAAGTCAGAAAACCATAAGCAATAAAAGTCATACCTCTCCATTAACAATTTCCTTGTCATTAAATACAAAGTTGACCTTTGCATTGCCAGACAGCTTTTCAGCCTGCAGCCAGAATCGCACTTGTCCCTTCTCCAGAAGTTCAGCTGCCAGCTCAGACTTAAGTGGGACAGCTACGAAAAGGAAAGAAAAGACTGAAGAGAATCTTTCCTGTGTTTCACAACTGTTCTTTTCCATTGTCAAAAAGCCAATTCTCCCATTGATAGGTGTAGAATTTATGGAAGTGTGTGTCTGCCCCCACCCTCTGTATAGTTGTTCTATTGTTCCGGGTCACTAGGGCTGTGTAGAGCTAGAAATATTCAGCGTTTGAATTATATTTGATGCTGCTCCATTCTAACTCAAAGAAAAATCTGTCTCAAAGGTAGACTGAAAATATCTCTGCAGCATGATGTGAATGTGTATGGCCCAGAAAGAACCATGCTTTATGACTCACTCTGTAATGTTATAATAAAATGTCAAAATGACTCAGCAGAAAAAAATAGCCTGCAAGGTCTTGCCTTCAAGGGTAATCAGAAAGTAAACAGCTGAACCCCACGCTGGTCCTTCATTCCTAGAATTGATCATGTGTGTCATATCATGCCAAAAATTTCAGCAGTACACTCCGTTTTCAAAGAGATAACCAGAAACACTGACATTACGAGCCACATTCATTATTGATGTAAGGAGGGTCAACTCCATTGAATGGCATTGTGGCCATTTATGTCACAGTACATTTAGCCATGGTTTTAATTTTCCCATTATTGACAAGTTCAAGTCTTCATCTTATTTTCATTCTAACTTTTCCTTAGGCTTTAGCTTACTTGGAAAACACAAGCAATTAGACCTAGTGATATAGGGGTTGATTTCTGAAAGGTGTTGAGCATCTAAATAGCTCTCCTTGATTTTTACCTAGACTCACAGAGCTATGCAAACAGTACATGAACACTTCTCTACTCTCCTATGGGTATACAGCATATACAAGCATAAGTATATGAGGAGCTCCCAAAATATAATAAGGACATGTCAGATTTGTAGTCTGAATTAGTGAGTCATTGTTTTTCATCTGTGAGAATACTGTAATGTGTATGCATGGAAGAGTGTGACATTGTCCCGGAGCTACCGAGATGGATCTAAAAACATCTTTGTGAGACAATCGGGGGAGAATCTTTTCATTTGTTTATATAGTCTGGTAATGGCTGTAGAACTAAATGTGAAACTCTCCTATCGTATAGATATTGGTAGAGGTCATGTGACATATAAAGGACTCAACAACAGTAAAGTGGGGCTATGCATGCTATACTGTAAAACAGAATACCCAAAGTATGAACAGCACAACTCTGGGTTGTGAAACTGTTTCAGATACAAGGCTGTACTGCAGGGCATATTAGCCTGTTTTCTAGCAGGGCTAGTCTGGCATTTTTCCTTCGTCATCTCCATTGCTCAGCTCCACTTGCCAGCAGCAGGGAGTGAAACTTACAAATCATTTTCACTTTTCTTCCCACTTCTCACACCTGGAAATGGCTCCTTTAAAGATTTTCACCTCTTCACTTGCTTGCTCCTCCCAGAACCCTACCGCACCTTCTGGAGCAGGCAACGTGCATGAAAGCGGCTGCCTCCCAGTCTGCTCTGAATCAGGCTGTGAAGCCCAGGTGGAAGCTTCACTCTGCACATGAGACTGCTCTGTCTGCCTGTCTGTCTCTCTCTCACACACACATCCTTGTCCTGGGTAGCAGGGAACCCTCTTCCTTTCTCCCCCACCTGAAGACATCTGATAGGTAGGGAAATGGGGGAATAGCCAAAAGGGGAAGGAGGATGGACAGTAACTAGCAGGAAAAGGGGAAGGTGGCAAATGGAGTCATCAGGGGATTGGCTATGGCAACTGGGAGGCGAGCAGAGCACCACCACTTTCTCCTCATTTTGACTCCTGCATGTTAGTGCAATGGTGCTGTAAAAAGCTTCCTCACTTACTATGAGAAATGAGAGGTGCCTTGGATCTTACTTAATCTCTAAAAACAAAAGGAGAGAAATGCCAGATGTACCAGTGTTTGCAACAGGAAGTGTGTGTAAATGAAGAAATTAGGCTGTGCTGCTTTTGTTTTACTGTCAGGTTTGTGGCAATTTTAAACTCTTAACTTGATTTGTATGTAATTAACTATGAATATCTTAGCCTAAAATGGAAAGATAAAAACCAAGCTTCCCAGAGGCTGTTCTATAAAGGACTAAAATAAGCTAAAGGCATCTTCTTTTGTGAAAAGAAGTCACTCCCCAGTCCACAAGACTAACAAGACTGAGTCCTTGTGCTTTCCAACAAAAGTGTTCATTTAAAAATGTGTCCATATTATGAAGGACTAACTGGCAGCTGTATTGGAAACTTCTAACAATCTTGCTTCTGAGTTTTACTTCCTATTCTGTATAGTGTCTCAACGTATCACAAGCACCTGATTAAACCTCCTTTAGCAGTTACCAAGTTGAAGAGCAGCTATACAGAGGACTTTCCCATCCTTCTTGGCCCTGTGCAGCTACTACACTCATACATTGTCTATGTTTAGTAAGGGTATGTCCACACAGCAAAGAAAAACCCGTGGCTGGCCTGTACCAGCCAACTCAGGCTCGTGGGCCTGGGGCTGAGGGGCTGTTTCACTGCTGTCTAGACTTCTGGGCTTGGGCTGGAACCCAAGCTCTGGGACCTCCCTCCCTGCAGGGTCCTAAAAGCCAGGCTCCAGCCCAAGCCCAGAAATCTACACAGCAAAGAAACAGCCTTGCAGCCTGAGCCATGTGAGCCCGGGTCTGTTGGTACGGACCAGCCATGGGTTTTTCTTTGCTGTGTAGACATACCTTTTGTGTGGAGTACTCAAGCAGCCCACTTACCAATAAGCTTGCCAGCTGTAGTTGTTTCTGAACACAAGTTAAATGTGTTAAAGTAAGCACTGAGCAGTTTAAATGAATTAACATGGAAGTGTTTAAGTTGAACATGCAAGTTTTAGTGATTAATTTTCACATACATTACTAATTTTGTTAGTGCTTGTAAAAATAGTTTATCCGGAGATGAGACTGAAACTCCTCATATACCCGAGGGGGTCTCATTACTATTTTCTCTTCTCTTAGGCATTTGCGGATACAACTCATCTTATTGTTACTTAATACTTTACAGTGCCTAGATATATGGTGGGTCCCTGACAATACAAAGGGAGAGATGTGATCTCTGCCCTGAAGAACTCACACTCTTATACAGAACATGACACAGTCAGGAGGAACAATCAACAGAGAAGGGATGGGGTGAAGAAGGGCAAAGGGTGATGGAATACGACTTTGTGGTTACTAACTTTGGGTATGGAGGTGCAATTAGGAGTTTATATTTGTTGCTGATTTTATTATAAATTAATAATATTGTTGACTTGCTTTTGGTGACATCATAGAAGAAGTAAGTCTTAAAAAGAGATTTGAATGATGAGAAGGTAGCAGATTGTGGGGTTTGGGAGGTCATTCCACATGCAGGGAATGGCATAGAAAAAGTCATGGAGGTTGTTGGGGAAGAAGAAAACAAGTGGGACATCGAGGTTGGCATCACTGGATCAGAAAAGGCCAGTCAGTGCGTGACACAATAAAAGACCATGTCGGATATGTAGACCGGAGTAGAGTTGTGTAGGGCCTTGAAGTGGTGTAGAAAAGGGAGGAAGTGGAGGGATTCAGAATGAGAGATGTTGTGGTCAGACTGATAGGCAAGGAAGACCATTTTAGCAGTCACGGTTTGGATGGACTGGAGGGGTGCAATGTGGGTCCAAAGCAGGAGGGGTGGAGGTTTGAGTAGCTGAGATAAAGATAGGAGGTGATGGACAAGAACTTTAGCTACTGGGATTGAGAGGAATAGTCAGAACTTAGACATGTAGTGGAGGAAGATATGGCAAGATTTAGACCTGGATATACGGGACTGGATTCACCATTGTGTTACTGCAGTTATACGCCATTGTGACTCTGTTTAAAACAGTGGTATTGCACCAGCTTAAAACTGGAGTAGCATAGTGATAAATAAAACCTGTAGCTAGAAGGAGAGGGAATCATTAAATATAGTCCTCAAGGTACAGACCTGTGTAACAGGAAGAATGGTCAGGTTGTCTACAGTAACAGAAAAAGAAGAAGGTGGGGAAGTTCAGAAGGAAAACTCCTGTGCAGATGGTGCATTCTAGCTGGACTTGCTGTGATGTTTTGTTTTGTTAACCTCGAATTTGGTCTTAACTTACATTGCAGTAATATTGCCAGCTAAAGTTAAAGGGGCAGAAAATTATAAACTCTCACACTGGCTTGGCAACTCATAGGGACCTGAGTAAGTGTAAAGTTCGGCGCTCCAGAAAAAAACAAATCCATTGGGATGCTTACTACACATCCAATATATAGATTATACTGTATAGCTAGAGAGCAGCATCTAAATAAGCAGCAAAGGCATCAATTAATACATTAATGTACTGGGAAGAATTGAAAGACTGACTAGTAGAAACCATAACCTCAGCTTCACACATTGCATGCTTTTCTTGTGAGCCAGCGGAGCAGCTCCCCTAGCTGTTGCTGGCAGGGACTCTGTAATATACATCCCAGAACTCTTCACACTGCATGCCAGTATCTCTTCTATGAGCATGCTCATTTCACTTACTTGGGAATTTGTGCTCATGGCTGAGAGCGAGCAGGCGTTTCATCTCTGCAAAAATTTTAAAAAGAAATGTTACGTATGCGTTTCTGTTTTAACAGTTATAATGATCACAGATTTTCTTACCTTTTCATGTAGTGCAGAAAAAGAAGTGAGATGTGAAAGATAAAGCAGGCAGCGTAAGAAATAGGTTTTTTCCTTACCTTCCTCGTCTACTGTGTAGCTTGATGAAACTCCATCAGTGTCTGTGACAGCACAAGAGTAAATGCCCAAATCATCTTCTCCAAGATTTTTAAAAGCAGCTTTTGACCTTCAGACAAAAACATTTTGATTAAAAGCCTTAACCAAAACCCTGAATCAGAACATCTCCCTTTCCCCCTACTAGTGGGTGCTGCATCTGCTGTGGCTCTGGCTGAGCAGGAGAGTATGGGGCAAAACCAGTGAAAAAGTGGGTCTATCCCATGGTGTTTACCATACATGTTGAACCCCACAGACTGTGTATCTGGTACATGAACGATCTGAATAAGTCCAGCTTAGTCCTGCAGGGAAGAGAAATGGGAGCCTGCAGGGTAGAGCATATGAGAGATGGAATAAAGATGCCAGAAAGGGTTCACGTGGGTTCATATTGCTGGGAGTATGGTAAATACAGGCT